GCTGTACTATGTCTTGAGTCTTCCTTATCCCTAAGTTTTTGTGTAAGTAGGTCCACTGCGCTGAAATGGACCTACTTACAGAAAAACTTAGGGATAAGGTAGACTCAAAATATAGTACAGCTTGGGAAAAATGGTATAACTGGATTAAAGATAAGGGAATTAAAAGATAAGAATTTGAAAAATGAAGAGGTTAGATTAAGAACGTTTATCCAAAACAGGAACTGAATATCAGTAAAATTGTTTTCAATAAAAGATCACACCATCTTAGTTGATTAGAAATGTATACATTTTATTTTTATGTTTATTTGTTATGTAATTGTATATTGATTTCATTTGTAATGAAAGGTTGTATTCTATGTATTGTACATATTTTTCTTTTTAATCTTAATAAAGTTTATTTTTAATTAAATAATAATAATTACAGACCAATTTCTTTATTGAACGCCAATTACAAAATATTTATGAATATAATGGCTGAGAGATTGAAAAAAATATTAAGTAAATATATACACACAGATCAAAATGGTTTTCTTCCAACAAGACAACTAAAAAAACAACACAAGGACAGTACTAGATATCCTGGAGTATTATGAGGCACATCCAGAAAAACAGGTTGCACTAGTTTTTCTGGATGCTCAAAAAGCCTTCAATAAAGTAAATTGGCAATTTATGAGACAACAAGTAAAGGAGATGAAATTTGGGAATAAGTTGGAAAAAATGTTAGAGTCAATATATTCAAGACAAAAAGCATGGGTAATAATTAATGTAGAAATGACAAATTCATTTGAAATAGGAAAAGGAGTCAGGCAGGGATGTCCACTTTCACCTCTGCTCTTTATCATGACACTAAAAATGTTGAGGAGAGTTTGACAGAATTCGGAAACAAAAGGACTAAGAATTAAACAAGAAAAATACAAGGCCCAAGCATTTGCAGACAACCTTGTATTCTTCATAGAAGAACCAATTAAATCAGGACCAAATTTAATTAAAGAGATAGAAAGATGCAGAGAAGTGGCAGGTTTAACAATCAATAAGGACAAAACCAAAATGATAACAAAAAATCTAACAGAGAAACAAAAATAGAAATTAGCAGAACAATGAGTATACAAATTGTTAAAAAAAATAAATAGGAATTTGGCTTGCGGCAAGATGTTCAACAATAAAAGAAGATAATTATGTAAATCTGGTATTAGAAATAAAAAAGGATTTAGAAAAATGGGGGAGATTACAATTATCAATGTTAGGGAGAATTGCCACTATCAAAATGAACATCTTGCCAAGAATACTATTTCTCTTTCAAACCATTCCAATTAAATTAGATAAAAAAATTCTTTAATGAATTAAATAAAATTACCATGAAATTCATTTGGTCAGGAAAAAAGCGAGAATAAAATTAAGTTCACTACAAGATAATTGGATTTGGACTCCCCACCTGGGAAATATACTGTAGGAAGTTAGCACCCACCCCCTCCTAGAAAATTGAAATATCCTAGGAAATATTAAAAAGGCAGAATATTTCCTCTAAAAAGAGTAGAAACTCAGAAGCAAAAACTCACCTCAGAAGCAGACGCTCACCCCCACTTTTGTTAATGGGTGGACGATTAAGGCCTGGGCCAGAATACTTTACATAACAAAGATCTCCAGGTAAAACTATAGCAATTGCTCAAAAGTCCTTTCAGTGCATCATCATCCAGCAAGGCTCAACCAAGCCTGGAACTCAGGACAGCATTCAGAGTTGCCCCTGCGTGGCCTCATGGGAGTCTGACAACCAATTAGAAACAAGCTTCAATTCAAATCCCAACAAAGGTCATAAAACCCAGGCACTCCCAGCATATCAGCCCTTTCTTGATCTCTTCCTTCACCTTGACGCATGTGATCATCCATCCTTTTCACTCTGGAGCTCCAGGCCATGTGGTCCTGTCCACCATTAAACCTTCCAAACAGCCTCCATGTTTCCAGTGTCTTTTTCCCCACTTGGAACTGAACCCAGAAGGATTTTTCTTCCGACAATACTATAAAGCAGTAGTCTTAACATGGATTAAAGAATGGGCCAATCTGAGAAATAAAAGAATCTTAACCCTAGAAGGGCATGATCTAGAGGCGGGGTGGCATGCCTTCATGTGAAACCCTGGAAATAAGACATACACACACTTTAATAGACATGTAATTCGAAGCTCATTATTAAAAGTGTGGAAAGAGATTAAACATAAACATTATATGAAGATTCCAGAGTGGGTTTCCATCATGGAGGCATTGATCCACCCCAATGCCTTAGAAACTGGAAGAAAGATTAGGTATTATGATGTCCTAAATTCCCAAGGAGAATTAAAGTTGAAACAAGAACTCAGAGAACAAGGGATGAGAATAGACTGGTGGCCATATTTACAACTCAAGACGAGATATAAAGAAGATATAGAAGAATTTGGAATTGAGGTAAAACCAAACCAATTAGATAAAATATTAGAGGGGACAGATGAAAAATTAATTTCTAAAATGTACAATTATCTATTAGAATTTGAAATGGTGGAAGAAATAGTTAAAGGCCCAATGATTGCATGGGCAAGGAATGTAGGGCACATTAATCTGGAAGATTGGAAAAAGTCTGGAAACAAAATTATAAAAAAACAAAATTGGTTGTTTATAAAGAAAACCAATACAAAATGTGTTACCGGTGGTATCTGGCACTTGGAAAAAAATTAGAATTTGGATAAAAGAAATTACAAATATACAATTAGAATTTAAGGCCGAAATACTTCTGTTGGGAATGTTAAAAGGGGACTATGCAAAAGAAACGAAATATTTAATTCTCCATATTATCACGGCAGCAAGAATTGCATTGGCACAATGCTGGAAGGGTGACCAAATGCCAACAAATAATTTGATAATTCAGAAAGTACTTGACTGCACTGAAATGGACCTACTTACACAAAAACTTAGGGATAAGGCAGACTCAAAATATAGTACAGCTTGGGAAAAATAGTATAATTGGATTTAGGAGAAAAACCAGGAAATTAAAAGATAAGGATTTGAAAAATGAAGTGGTTAGATTAAGAGCATATACCAAAAATAGAAAATGAATATTAGTAAAATTGTGTTCAATAAATGATCACACCGTCTTAGCTGATTAGAAATATATATGTTTTATGTTTATATTTGTATATTGGTTTCCTTTGCAAAGAAACATTGTATCTTATACATTGCTTATATTTTTCTTTTTAATCTTTAATAAAGTTTATTTTAAATTTAAAAAAAGAAAGAAAAAAGGACTGGGAGAAAAAAAGAGTTTTATCCCATTGAAGGTCTGAAGCCCCAGACGGCATACAGAGCACGGGTGTTGGCTGCAGAGGTAGGATTCTACCAGTTCGCATCTTGTGACTATTTTACATTGGCTCTGTCCTGTATTTTTCCACAAAAAG